TGAAAAGCGTGAAGCGTAAAGTGCGTTTGGGTTTGATTTGCAAGAGAACTGCCAGAAATTATCGTCAAGCTGCTGTGTGCACTCCATTCCAATTGATTCTCGAACTTTAAACTGCTTCGCTGCACAAAGAACACGGAAAGAGCGACGCAACGACACCGGCAAAAGTGGGGGAATGGAACAAAGGGAATTATACAGTGAACACTCTGTGTGCGGCAGTACAAACCACTGACATGGTAATCGCACAACAAGAGCTTTCACTCTTGAAACGGACTTTCCACAAAAGCCTAAAAGTAGGCAACGCTAAGCCTTGGCGTCGGTCTTAGAGTGAGAGGGAGAGACATTGAGTGAAAAAACATGATCTGTTGCTAACATATTCTCTTTTTTTTTACAGAAGTAATTACAGAAATGTTTGAATTCCATTTTCATATGTATCTTTCTATCTATCTATCTGTAAGGGTAGAAAAAGACTCGGCTCCCAAATTCAGTTTTCCTTAGTTTGTGTTTAATCTTTGGCGTTCCAGTGCACACAAACTAACAGTTGAATGAGCTTCGAGAAAATGCATTTCGTATTAACAAGCTAGAATGTATATTAATATTGCCATAAACATCTAATAAATAGTTTGGTTTATTGATTTTATATGTATTTACCCCCAGCACGACCCCGAAATCTCATCTCTTCTTTCGCTAGACCCTCTCTTGACAAATATTTAATATCGAAGATGCATTTCCAGTTGTTGTTGCTCGTGTATGCTGATACATATGTATCTGTATCTATCAGAAACTTGTCTAGCATGTCAACTAGAAAATTCGCATATTCAGAGAGCAGTGGCAGTGGCATTGGCAGGACAGGGCAGGGGCACTCTGCCAAAAAAACGAAACACACAACTGGAAAATGGCCAAGGAAAAAGGGGGAGTAGCATATCTCAGTGTAAATATGCATGCATATAGTAAATTGAAGTCTGAAGAAATCTGAGAAAATTGAGAAAAGCAATCCATGAAGCAAATATTGAAATATTGACAGGCGTACAAGAACGAACAACTTGCTGTGCAATGGCACATTGCCTTCCATCCGTTGCGGAACTTGTATTTGTTTCAATTTCAAGCTCTGGACAGACTGAAAGTGGCTCGACAAACAACAGTTATATTTAGGAGTCTGGCACATAATGCCAAAACACTAAAATTAACAGCTGCAAACATTTTTAAGGATTGAAGATGGCAGGCGTCCTTGGCAGGGATATATGTGCAAACATACCCTGAGAAGCGTGGGGAATGAATGAAAAGCTATAAAGAACATTACAACATTACCTAACTATATATTTTTCGCAGTGTTGAATAGTGCCACAAACAGTGCTGTTGATGGGAACACATACTTATAAGTGTTGGTAGGTAACACTAAGAGGAGCAAAGCATTCCCCATAAATTGGCTCTTTTCCTCTTACATTCTTTCCGACTTCATTCAGTGTATTTCCCATTCGTTCCGCACCACTTAAACTTTTACGATCCTCTGTTTTGTTTTCCAACTGAAAATCGCCGGCTTTTGCAGGCTTTAGGAATTTTTAGCGGCTGGGTTGGGACTAACTGTTTTCAGTGGCTGAAAAGGCGACATAAAGTATATTTTGATTATTTCGTGAGCCAAAAGTTGAGCATTTTAAGACCAGCCGGCATTTGCATTTCAAATATACTTTTACGACAATCCACCCAGAAGTTCCTTTACCCATCTGGCCCGCATAGCATCGGGGCCCCAACACCTTCCTGCAGGATCTTTTGGGACGCCTGGTGAACGAGTGAAATACCACAAATGGCGTGTAAACACAACAAAGAGGTAATAACAATGGCGGCCGGATGCCTGGAGAGGTCCCTGACTCCGCGAGGCTTTACACTGAGAAACAGGGAGCTCCCGTCCGCATTCCTGGAGCACAGTATTCGAGGTAGTCCAGGATGTAGCGCAGGGCAGGACCTTTCCTGCCACCCGCACTTTGGCAAACATTTTTATTTGTTTCTCCGTAAGCTGTGTCAATACACAATAAATTGAACTGTGCAAGAATTTATGTTGGCACTTTGTGAGGACGCAACATGCCGCCACCGCCATAGCCATCTCCTCCTCCTACCCCTTATCTAAAGGGAAGAGGAGTACGGGGCCGTGGTCCACACCCGCACATCCGCACATCGGCACATCCGAACTGGGCGTCAATTGCATATTGGCCGCCCCCTGGGGACTTAAAAGTTCAATAATATTTATTTGTTACTTGCTCTTTGACAACAAAGCTCGCTCGCGCGCACACACACAAGATTATACTTAGTCGTGGGCCCCCGTTTATCACGCAACCAGAGATACCCGAACTCCCACCCCAAAGACCCACACGGAATGCCACAGACACCCTCTTATATAATGGCATATTGTCAGACAATGGCTGCGACCAGAGTTTGGCCGTAAATTTTGGCCCTAAAGGCGATGATTTTTCTAAAGGCCCAAAGCTAATTTAGTGACCGAATGCCAAAGTGGTCAGGCCGCTGTGATTTATGGGGTCACCATTCCACCACTCCAGCTACGTTTCCAATTATCTCTTTGGTTAACTTATAACCTTAAAGCCATCACTAGAACCGGAAACTACATGTAACAATATTATCTTACACACTTTAATTAAGATCAACCTTTGTTTGGGTAAACTTAGTGCACAATTTGCTGGCACTGGCACTGGAACACATAGATATGTATTTATGTATTTGTGTCAATGAGTCGGTGTTGATCCCATTTAATAAGCGCACAAATTTCGATATTCATAAAGGACACACAGGGACTGGGGCTGGGGCTGCCGCTGGGGCTGGGTCTGGGTGTCCGGAAACACATGTATTGTGTTGGCCATCTACAAATAGCATCCGAGCCATAAACAAATAAATTCCAAATCTTCTGTTAGGCCCACTTAGTCGAAATGGAAGGAAGCGCAGGCGCAGACAAACAACCGGCGGAAATCTAGTGTGAGGATACCAGAGGTGCTTACCCTATCTATAAGGCAGGAACGAAGTGGAAAAGGAACATTGCAGGAGAAGTAAAGCAAACGACGGAACGGAATCAAATGGGAAAGACTGTGAGCAGGGGAACACTAGCAGAAACGAAGCGATAAAGGGGAATCACACACAGAAACGAAACGACAAAGGACTGCCAGCAGGGGAAAACCCGATTAGGAATGAAACGTTAAACGACTGTTAGCAGGGGAAGGACCAGTAGGAACGAAACGAACGTTGAAGAACACCAGGAGTTAAGCGGGGATGTTTCCTGGTCCCTGACGTTGATGCTCGTTGCACGCGTTTTAGTAGAAAATCTGCATCCTGCGCGTACGGACGTGACTCGGATGGAAAAGGAAGCCGTGGCAGCCACAAGACAATTTGCCGCGATTTGAAATTGAACGTGCCCGAAAGCGTACTCTTTGTTTATCCCAAAGACAAAAGGCGGAAAAGAGTGAATATACAAATAAAGAAAAAGTGCAGAGCAAAGGGCAAACAGTGAAGATAGCCATAACAGAGAAAGAGAGAAAGAATTAAGACAAAAGTTAAACCACTTGGTGTCCTCTTGGGTGTCCTGCGAGTGGAGTGTCCTGGCGTCGGTTGTTCAACGTGGAGTGTGTCGACTGTCAACTGCCGAGTGTCTTTTGGTGGAATCACTTTTAAAATTTGTTTGCTCCCGTTGTACTCAAATGGATATTAGAATTGAGCCGAAACGTACCGAAACAAGGAGCTCCGGAGCCAGACCCACAGCTACAGCCAGGGGATTTCTCCAAGGAGGAGTAATGTAAAAAAAGGGATTATTGTGCCTCATTTTCGTGGACCCGAGCAAAAGAAAGTGAAATAAAAAGTATCCTCGAACCGGATTATGCGATAAATTGTTACTGAAGTGTAAATGTTTTCTCACGTGTTAAATCGTTAAATATAAGCCTTATAAGAAATATATGTACTCGTATAAAGGAGCCACCGTTCGTGAGTCCGGCCACATGGCCATTGTAACTTATTACGAAGAAGCCTTAAACTGAAAACTTGGGTGCAAGAAAACCCATTGAAAAGCAATGCGAAACTTGTTAAACACTATAAATGGTTCAAGTTCTTCAAGAGTTTTTTTGTGCGCCAGAAAACTTTCACCCATTAGTCATTGAGAACCCTCTCGTTGTGTGATAGTTTTGCATAGGAACCGTGCAATATTTTAACTTTTGTGCGAAAAGGAGCGTGGGAGAGACTTGAAGCTATACGGCGAATTTTACATTATTAATTGCAAAACGATTATGAGAGTGTAAGTGGCAAAGAAGTTGCTGAATTTTGATTTATTTATATCTCCTGGAAAGTCTAAGGGCCGACCCCCCGGCCCACCATTCCTTTGCCTTCTTTGGAGCAGACGATGAAAGGGATTCAGAGAAAGGAATGTTTGTTTGCCGTGAAATTTGGTAGGATTTTAATGAAATATTAATGGCAATATTTGTATTTTTTTTTGCTGCCTTGCGGGAAAGGATTGCATTTGTAAAAGTTGAGTTAAAGTAAAATCTTGGAAGTTCTATTAGTTATCCAAATTTATTGGGTTTAATATTTTAAATTAATTGAAGAATCTCTTGGGGATCAAGTGTCCAATTAGTCGGCAAGTTTTCTCAATAATTATAAGACTTTCGAGAAGTACATTATTTTTGGTATACATTTTCTGCTATGGTTTCTGAGAAAACCCTTCCGTAAACTAAAAAACACGTTCCCCTTTTATGGCCAACAACATTTGGTTTAGAATTAGTCAAGATTCACTTAGCAAAAGCGCAGATAGGTCTTTCCTGGAAAGTCCATTGAAAGCACCCAACAGTGTTTTCCATAAAACATAAACTTAAATACTGATGGTTGTTTATTTATTTTGATGCCACTGCAGTGCCAACAAAAGTTCACCACTCTGCAGAACCGAAAACACTTAAATAAATATATAAATCAAGCAAGAGAGAGAAATACGAGTACGAGTAGAACGAAACAATGAAAATGCAAGAACATTTTTGCTGGAAACGCAGCGAAAAACTTGCGAAAAACCCATAAAAGAAAGTTGCAATTTCTGGCTAAAATAAAAATAAAAATAAAAATAAAATCAAATAAAATAAGAGTCAAGTGGAGCAGAAACCAAATGGAGAAAGGGAGCGCTGCAGCCCAACCCCCAAGTGTATTAATTCAATAAACCTATTTATCTGAGACTTCGACTGGGATTTTGGGGAAAGACGGAGAGATAGAGATTTCGCAGAGAATGCGACAAAGTTTGCCAGCCAAGACGGCGCAGTGCAATCAGCCCAGTCTGCTAAGGAGTCGACAGAGGAGTCAGAGAAGCCAGAGGAGCAGCCAGAGCAGTCGGAGCAGCCAGATTCGATGCCGCAAACGAGTCCCAATTGGAGGCAGGCGTACAATGAGCGCACAAAAGGCGCTGTAAGTGTCATTGCAGCCAGGAACTGTGCCACTGGGACTGCCACAGCCACAGCCAGAGCCAGCGCCACTGCCACAGCCACAGCCACAGTTCGGCGAAGGACAGCCACGTTGACAACTGCAGAGATGACAGTCAGGGCAGGCGATGTGGGCGGACCATCTTCAGTCCAACGTCGCCAATTTTTACGTAGCACCAGGACACGGACAGCGTCTTGGCTGGATCTCCTTCCAGCCCTTCTGGTCCTCGGCTTTGGGATGCGTAAGTACAGCTCGGGGGCACTTCTCTTTCTATCTTTCTTTTTGTGTGTGTGTGTGACTTTCATACATTTTTGATTTAATTTAACGCATTCATGTCGCACTCACACACACTCAAAAACACCCACAGAGAAAGACACCCACACACTGGGATAATGGCACTTGTAAGCGGGTCGGGTCCCCTAGACGCGCCATGGCTGCTGGCAAATTATTTTAGTAGTTCTGGATCAGCAGTGCGACAGAGAAGGAAAGAGAGATACCATTGCCTTTCTCTCTCACTTGTCCTTGACAATTGATGACAGAGAGTGGGCGTGTGTGTGTGCGTTGTGTGGCATGAGCAGGTGCGTCGCTGTGGTTGGGGCTTGAGAGGGGTCCAGGTCTCCTTTTTGTTTTATTTGATTTAGCTGAAATTAGATTACCAGAGGAAATGAGGGTCTGCAAAAATAGGAAAAACAATGGCGCTTAAATTTGATAAAATGTGTGTGAGAGAACTTTCCAAGAAATCATTTGGAGGTATTTTTTATTGAAATTGTATTAAAACAGGGGAAACTCCCTTAAACTCGTGCTGAAAAACGCTACTCTTAAAATTGTATTAAGGCATTCCGCTCAGGGAATCCTGCTATAGAAGCCCTCTTGGAAAACATCGCCTCTCTGGTTAGGCCCCTGCCTTCGTGGCTTACTTTTTGTTTTGGGTTTCGAGTCTAATTTGATTTCAGAACATAATTAAGTCAACTTCATTGCCCTAATGAGATGTTCATTTAATTTGCCCCTAACCATACATATCCATAATACGAGTGCGAGTACGAGTAGGAGTACGGGCACAGTATATCCCCCCTTGAATTCCCTTTTCTGTTTTCTGTTTTTCCTATGGATACATTTTCTGCTAAGTGGTGGGGAACCTCTTCCCGAAGTCTTTTCAATTAATTTCATGCTTTTGTTGCGTTTAAATGGATTCAATTGGCCAAAGAAAAATCGTTTGAAATCGTTTAAGCTGGGACTGAAACCGACAAGGTATTACTAATTTTCAGTGCTGTAAAGGGAATATTAATGGCAGATTTAAAAGCTTTTAATTAAGACTTGGACTAGGCCTTGTGATATGTCTATTATTCTTGTGCGATGATTATTGAAAACTATTAAGAAGCTGTTTGTGAATTTACAATGGATGATGCGATAGATAGACACCAACTGCATGTATACCGCAGTGTTCATAGATTTGTGTTCGATTCGACTTATGATCGACTGACTTCTATGTGCCTACTTTAAGTGGACGACTGTATTGTTTATGGGATGGCCTGTGTAGGGTCCTGTTCATGTTTATAGATGTGATTACTGCGTGCTTGTTGGCCTCCCACAAATAGACTCTATTTCCTATTCCAAGCACATTAGTTGAACTAAAACATAGTCCATTTATTCAAATTCTACATTAAACAAGATAATTCAGTAGAATTGAGCCTTAATTTTCCACATTCAAACCCCATTTCGCAAAAAGTTCCTTTTAGCCTTTATCCTTTAAATCACATAAAGTAAATTGTACATATTTATGAACCTTTGTGCACACAAATCAACAGCAAAAGTTTCAAGATGCTCTTTAGACGGTTCCGCAAATTACGAGAATGAGAAATAGTTGGCAGCAGGTCCTTAACCCGGTTGGGGCCACAACAGCAGCAGCATCAGCAGCAGCACCACCAGTAGGAGCAGCTGCTTTTCAACTGTTGTTTCGTGCCGGCCGATAATCATGGCAAAAATAGAACAATAAATTTCTCTTTCTCTCTAGTTCGGTACTCCTGCTCTATGAGTCCTGGGGGGAAAACATTAACGAAATTGAAAACTTGCCAAAAAATGTTTAATAAACACATTTTCAGTGGCACATCGGTGGCACCCCTAAGGCCCAGCCCTTGCCTTCTATCAACACTCTGTACTCTTAGCTTGGAGCCCCTCTCTAAAATTTCTCCCCCATCCCCTGCCTCTTTTAAAGCCCTACTAAACAAAATGCGCTTTCAAAAAGTTTGACTGCAACTCGTTATGCGAAAATACAGAATGGGGAAACAAAGTAGATGCAACCTCTAAAGCCCATGCTTTTACCATGCCCTACCCTCAAAAATCCTCCCATTTTCCCAACCGAAAATAGTAGAAAATGCAACTGAAGTTTGTCTTGCTGTTGCCTTTGTTCGGCCAAAAAATTGGTTTCTATTTCTATTTCTCTTTTTCTGTTTTTGGTAATTTTGTGGGGACTTTGCGTATAGAAATTTTTGCGTTGGCTTTGCACTGTGCTGGCTGCCTGCTAATTTCGGGAATGTGCCGGCAAAGTTGTGGCTCAAATCAAAGCGGGCTACAGGTTGACTTGGGGCCTGATCCTGGGCCCATCACCTGGCCAAAATGGCCCCGAAATCCTTTAAGAGAGGAAGCTCTGGGGTCGTCATGTCGTGTCCTGTGTGCGGTCGTTGCTGTTAGGGCCAAAAGTGTTTGCTTACCTTCATAAATTATAAATGGGTTTGTGGACAGACAACAGCAACAGCAACAGAGGAAGAGCTTGCCCCGGGCTCACTGTAGGCAGGTGGATAGCAGGAGAGTGTGGCAGATACATTGTCAGCTGACCTCAGCCGCAGCCTCGTCCTGGGCCTGGTACTGGTCCCTGGGACTGGGCCTCTGATGACGGAAAATATTGTAACACAAGCCAACAGGCTGGCGGCGCAGGATGCTAAGGAGGGGTTGACCGACACATGACAGTGCCACAGGTCAACAAAGTATCTAACGGTGGAACAAATTGCCAGGCAACGTGTTGGCAACGCCATAAAAAGAATTGCCCATTGTGGGGCCCTAAAATGTATGCTATGAAAATTTGAGAGTAGCGGGTGAGTACTTTTTTTCTGTACGAAGGCGGTTGTAAGGCATATAAGAGTATATATTATTGATAAGCTTGATATAGCCATTTTCGTGTGTAGTTGGAACCTAAAACTGAGATATTTGAGAGTCTGGAGGGTGTATAGTTTACGTTTAGAGCCCAGAGGTATTAAAATCTATACCACTCGGATCTGCATTACCGTCAAAATGAGGAAAGAGCTGTAATTATTATTTTTAATATTAAAGATTTATTTCTTTTTCTCTAATTCGAATTCAAAACACGTCTGTGCTCCGGGTAGACCACAGTTATAGTATCGTTTGAAGCCTTTTTCTTTTGTTTCAAGGCATGGCAACAATGAATTGTGCTAGCTATGCCACCCACTGTGCCTCATTCGCCATGCAACTAACAATTTCCTGTCTCCAACACACGCTCACATCCTTACACTGTGGGCTGAAGGCCATTCAGCTGATGCGCTTTTGGCTCGCAAAATGTGAGCTTAAATTATTCAGAGGGTCCAAAGGAGTTCAGCAGCTGCAGCGGCAGAAGAGCGTCGACGCTTTGGGCAATCAAAGACAACAACAACAGCAACAGAAATAGTGTATGCGTGTGTGAGGGGCATTTAATTGCTCAGACAACAGCAGAGGACCAGACAACCAGAGGGAGATGGCGATGGAGAGGAAAAGACATGGCGTGAAATGACCCACAAATGACAAAGTGCAGCGGCAGTCAACGAGCCTTGTCTTCATTTCTTGTCGAAGTGTGAAAAGAACAAGACAAAAACCAAAGACCAAAAAGAATGGCCAAAGCTAGGAGCTGCCTCTAGGCCAAAATGGCCAGAAAGAGGGCTTCGTCCAGGCCAGAATGTGGAAATTTATGAATCGCAGCAGGCGATGGGGTTGGGGCAAAGAGAAAGCGAACCCCGGACAGACTCTGCCCCAGCAGGAGGTCCTTTTAAAAATTGTTTTGTTTTTGGTCAACGTTCGCCTACTTATTTATGGCTGCCCTGCAGCGTCCTCCCTCTATCTCTGAAACCCTCTCTCATCACTCTCTCTTTTCACTCCTATATTGTCCCTGTCCCTTATCCTTATAGCAGAACAGTTCTCCCTGGCCAAATATTTAGACCAGAGGCCATAAAAATCAACTAGATAGCCACAGCAGCCATAAGAGATATTCTAATATCTTTTTTGAGATTTCGCATAATTATTTACCCTGATTTATATGGAAAAATGGAAAGAGATGGAAAGGCACAGCAGAAGGAGTTTGTGCTTTAATGAAGCCAATGCAAACATGAGGGATACAAGAAACTTCTGGCATTCATTTCCATAATTTATGGAGAAATGGTTGCTACATTTCAGTTCAGAATATATGTATTTGGAAACGTTTGATAATGTTTAAGCTTATAATAGATGATAAATATAATCTGAATAAAACTGATGGCTTCGGATGTTTGACCAAATATTATACCAAATATTGTGAATCACGAGTATCTGTAATACAAGAGCTCATCAATTATGAATGAATATATTATACATTTTATAAACATCATCAAGTTCATCCTTTGAAAAAAAACCCTAGAGGGTGTCCCGTCCCCAAAGAAGCACAATCAATCCACTTAAATTCATTAAAACGAACTTATATCTCAACAGAATTTTTTACCCGTTTAATTTCCCCAAAGATTTCGTGCTGCCATTGGAGTTTCCCCAGCAGACAGTCTTCTCTAGCCTGATTCATCTTCATCACGTTGAACCTTTTGTGTCATAAATTATTTATGTTTATGCACATTGCGATGACATTTGATCACAAGTGCTTGGAATTCCCATAAATATTTGAGCACAGCAAAAAATCGAACGAGGGTGGGGGGGGGATGAGTACAAAAATTGTATTTAAAGTGGCATTTATCAAATCGATCAATAAACAATTACCGAATGCGAATGCTCACAAAATAAATAAATAAATAAATAAACGCTGGTTGAGAGCAGCCATGAAATCTTATGGAATACGTATCTGTATCTGTGCGCTAGGAAAACAAGCATTAAAGATACATTTGCATGAGTGTAGGTGTGGGTGGCTTCAAGTGGATGCTTTTGAGTGGGTGAGAGCTCCGTTATTCGAGTGGCCTGTGCGTCTGTGGCTGGCTGTCTGTGTGGATGGATGGTTGCGGA